TTTAAAAAATCCACAGTCATCTTTTTGCTGGCTCTACAATTGCTCGCAGGCTTTCCTTCCCTTCTCCTCCTCCCCACCTCGTCACACAATCTCCTCCATATCACTTTCGGACCCATTCAGGTTCCACTCGAGGACATGGCAAGAAATATTACTCAACGTGTCTACTCAGTGTGCGTCTGATCCATCTTTTAGAATATTTGTTGGGTGATAGACTCATCACCCATGCTCCTAGTTGCTTATTCTTATTCCGTCTGGCTGGCCTTTTCGATCCTACCTGGCTTTGACAATCTCATCTCTGTAGCCACCTGTAGTTGAAATGATGCTGTATCTAGATAAATGAAAGTGGTAACTTCCTTCAAATTACTCCCACTGATAGTGATTGGGTACTTATTGTTAAGACGAAATTAATCAATAAATAATTCAATAAACTACGAGAAAACTGTTACTTTTCAAGTCAATGTTATACACAGCCAGAAGCTATACAAGTAAACAAATGCATTTCAAATAGTGGGGGGGGGGAGATTATTTTGAAAAATAAATTAACTAGCTCTTTAGCCAACCAAATTCATCTACAGTATTTCTAATGATAGAGATTTATTTGATTCACCTGCAAACGCAGATCTGACGGTCAGAATCGGTATATGTGATCGGTCGGTCGGTTGGTTTTCGACATAGAACTTTGCACATATGTGTGGCAGTTCAAGTCGTCACACTCCATGTAGCACACAAAGCAAGAGAAGAAAGTAGAAGAAATGCATAACATAGACAGTAAACATAGGTGTGAGACAAAGGAATAGTAATAACGGAGAACAAAACAGTTTAATTGGAAATCATAAGTCACAAGGAGTGGATACATCTGCGCCGGCCATTGAGAACGATTTTGAGCCATATCACCAATTGTTTCCAACCATTGGTTTATTCCGTCCCGAGGACGCCAACCAGGAAGATGTATATGTGATGGAATCAACAGGTGAATCTGTCAGTAGTTAGAAGGTATTTCATCAGCACATCCGAAACACATACACACACACCACCACCAGCAGTAAGAAGCATGCTTTCAGGAAGACGATCTTTGAGACAACTGGGATAACAAACTAACAACATACAAAGATGTCTAGAACATTGGGTAAAGTACTTTATGAAAAGAAAATTAAACATTCCAGCTGGTTCAAAGTACTAATAATCATTCAGCGTTCCATGGTTCCATGGTTAGCATCAATACCCTACACACTTAACGAAGTACTGCTTGGAAAGGATCTATCTATCTAGCAGTAATCAAGAGCTACCTATAACTGCAAAACACCCCTACAAGTGAATCATTAGAAATGGTTGATAAGTTCATAAACATCAGAGCAGTTATATGAGTGTCATTAGAAGCCAGATGGATGTAATTTCCAATTGTATTGTGAAAGCTGTGATTGACTGGTTTCAACATAGAGTTTTGCTCCAATGTGCAACAGTTCAAGTCGCTACACTCTCTCCTTGTAGCACACAAAGCAAGAGAAGAAAGTTAAAGGGAATGCGAAACAGAGACAATAAACAGAAATATGAAGCAAAAGGAATAACAACATCGAAGAACAATATGGTTTTATTGGGTGTTATGAGTCACAAGGAGTGGATGCATCTGCGCTGTCATTGACAACGATCACTTTGAGCCATATCACCGATTGTCTCCATCCTCTATTGGTGTTTACCGCTCCGAGGACACAAACAGGAAGTGCACACCTTCCCAAGTGGCTGGCTGGCTTAAACTAACTGTTGTGGATTCCATTGACTGATGAAGCCATGTTTTCGTCTGACCATCACCACTAGCTAACTCTTTTCCAACCTGATGATCTATCCTATGTCAGTCAGCTAACATTGCCTGTTGTCGAGGAAGGCGTTGACTAGGCATGCGTAATACATGTCCTAAGCATCTCAATCCATGTAACTTCACAACCTCATTGATTGATTTCCCTTAGTTACCTAACACACTTTACGCCTAACCTCAATATTACTCACTGTATTATACCACTGAACACACACAAATGCCAGAATGCAGGTAGCCTTTTTTTACGTTAATAGTAACTGACAGTTCAAAAAACAAAAAACTATGAAAACAAAACAAACAAAAAAAGCTACGAGATATTACAAACCTGCTGCCCATCGAAGAAATGTCATAGCGCCTAACTTCTTCATCCCATTGCATGGAATAAGATTAGTTGAAACAAACAATGATTCTGTAGACATTGCTTTGCTAAATCGACCAGTCGTGGTTGCAGTTGTTGTTTTTGTTGTCGTTGTTGCTGCTGCTGTTGCTGCTGTAGTTGTTATTGTACTTTGTGTCCCATTATTCATATTATTATGTGATGAAGTAGGATTTGATGATCTTAAAGCATTTGAATTCACTGTGACATGAGGAGATACAAGTGAAACACTTGTAGGCAAAGTAATACGTATATTATTCGACTGATAAGTTAACTGTGCAGGTCGAAAACTAGTGAATAAATTTCCATTTTGCCCTGATGCTATTGTATTCACATAACCTGTTACATTAGCAGGCGGCATAGATGCCTGTTGAGAAGTTGACGCACTTAAAAGTGATTGAAAGAGATTATTGAAGGTTGGATGATTGGCCGTATTGTTAGCATTCTGTTGGGTAATATTACTTGTAGTGACTAGGGAAAAGTTTGACATTGAATTATTGACTAAAGAAGAAGAAGAAGAAAAATAGAACAAAGTAAATTCGATGATAAGTGGTTAAATTATTTTTCTTTTCTTACCAGTGGATTTTTGTACACTTCTGGATTGTGGATTTGAAGAGTATGTGGTAAATACATTTCTGGGAGCACTGCCTAGCGTTGGTGCTTGAGAGATAATGGGAACAGTGACAGGGTAATCAGGACGATATACATCAAATAAATTATGCCTGATTGTATTGTTGGGTATGTTAGGAGCACTCATTTGTCAGCTCTAAAATAAATAACAAAGATATTGAAATAAACGATTAATTATGCAGCACAAAGTGAAGATGAACAAAATAAAAACAATTTTCTAAAGAAAATAGGAAGTTTTTCACACATACAGGCTGATCAACATAAATGTATGAATTGCTGATACTGGAAATGTACTATATTTTCCCCCAACATATGTATTTGCCTAAGGAATAGAACATACCTCCTTTACGACTGCCTTGCGATTCATAAGAAGGGTGGTAACAAAGAAAACTCAATTTACTTTTAAGCTTACAAAGCTTGTTTAAGCTTATTTCATTTGATTTTTAACATACTAAGTAGCGTGTTAATTCCGCTACGTGTATATTCTAGAAAAGTATAAGTTTTAGAAAAAGCTAGAAAAAATCCTGGTGTTTCTACTGCTCATTCTTTTCTCTTTATTAACAGTTAAATAACTGCTGCTAGACAGTTTTCGGCTGGGCGTGGTGGTGTTCGCCTGTAATCTAGCTACTCGGAGGCCAGGAAGTGAAATTTCGCTGGCCCGAGAGTTCCGATATATGGGTGCTTATGTTGTTCGGGCGTCCAGGCTACGCACGGCACCGATATGGACGACATGTCGGAGGACGGGTTGTCCAGGTCGACTGGGGAGGCGCGGACCGGCCCAAGGGGAGAAACCCAGCGGGCGAAGGTCCCCGCGAAGTGCGCTAGCGGGATAGAGCCTGCGAACGGTGATCATGTGACAGCCCAATTGGAGTTTGGAAACCATCCTCTTTTCTATATGCACCGGCGATTCAGCGGTAGAAGGTTCCCCAACCACGCACGTCGGTCGGAGTTTCATTGTCGGCCGGCACACTCTTAAAAACGTCGCTAAGATGGGCAAAGAGGGGAGGTTGGGCGTGAGGTTAGCAACCATACCCCACAGAAAAGCTCCAGTGCTACTGAAACTTTAAAGCTTTAGCCTGAAACCCTATGTTGCACTCGGGACGTAAAGGAATAAAATGTTTTCTGATGACGTAACAGTTACTCACTAACAGTGCTTTTTTGTGTACTACCATTTCGTTTTCAAGGACAAAACAGACAAGAAATATTTAGATGAAATAAGTCTTACATTCCCTATATTAGGTGATATTTTCTTGACCCTACCAGATCAATCTTAATGTGACAAATGGGAAGCTGATAGTTAGTATCTATTGGCCGTTAGAATAATACTACTTAGAATACCTCAAAAAGGAAATTACCCCATAGCCATGGTTTGAGGCCTGGAGAAGCGCTACCAACCTGGTAGGTATAGGCATTTGACAACTCGGTTTTGAATATGCAGACTGCCTTTTTAGATCGAAGAACTCGATACAATCAGGGTTTTGATAGATAGATTCACTAAATACAATCTTATGAAGACATTAGATGACTATTATGGAATTTTTTCGATATGTTTCTTAAAAACACAACTAGGTGGTAATAGAAATTTACATGTCTGAGTGCATTGATTTATTCAATAACTTCCGAAATCGCACCAACTTAGGTGTAAAGGCGGGTGCAGGCAGGCAGCATAATATGACATCTTGGCAATGTTACCAATGGTTTGCACCTTTTGACAATGACCCAGATACAAATAGTCATGAGAGAATCACTAGGAAAAGAGACGTGTTTAGTCATCACTATGCTAGTGACGTAAACGACATGTGTTGAAATTGCCTTCAGCAAGGTAAGCATGGTACCTTATGTAAATAAGTCCGTTTATAAAATATATTAGTTTTGATGTGGATGGATGTAGAACGTATTACACATATTCGTTCTTTCTTTTTTCAAACTAATCAAGGGGACCGGTTGTATACAGACTGCAAAAAGCCAGAAAAATGTGGTGTAGAACTCAAATCAAGTTTAGAGCCACTGTTGAACTGTACATAATGTGTGATATATTTTAATAACAAATTACACAAGAATAATACACGTGCACCAATACTGTATGAAACAATTCTTTCATTATACCCCAAAAGTTAAACTCCAACCGACAAACCACAATAATCTTAACTGACTGCTCATTAATGTAAGAGTAGAATATAGGTACTGTGGTCAAATACAATTCCATAGTATATTAATTTATCTGATTGAACACAGTGATGTTGTATTAATAACTAATTGTACCATGAGCAATTAAATGTGCTCAGTTTGACTGCTCCCACGTCCAATTAGGCATGTTCATCGTCAGCTTTCTAAACATCCTGCGTGATTAAGCCAGGGACAGACAAGGTCTATTGGCAGGTCTATCTCAGCTCACAAATGTCGATGTTTACAAGGTTCTTAATGTTTCCTACCGTATTCCTATTAATCTGTTTCACCTTACGAGTTCGTTTTCTGAATATAGACGAAGCCATTGGAATGCACTATAAGAAGTCCAACTTATGCGTTCAGAAGTTCGTTCAGACGCTTCCCCTACCTTGGCCATCACTTTTAACCGGCTTTAAATGTCCTACAAGTTTTCTTAATTTTACCTGATATTTAGTCTAATATTATGTTTTCATCATTTTTACTGCTTCAAAAGGCTTTCGGACTTTAATTCCACTGGTGTTAACAACTCTGTATTACTGAAAAAGCATAAATATTATCAATAACAATTATCCTTTAAATATTAAATGCACATACAATTAAAGAGCCATATCAGTAAGTTATCGAAAATACCCTAGGCTCTAAATGCCAAAATGAGAATACAAAACAATCTTCTCCAATCGTCCTGTTCTTTTTCAGTATTATCCTGTGAATATGTTTTTTCACCTGGTCTCACTACCTTAGTTCGACTGAGCGCTAGGTGCTCATTGGTGTGTTCACTCTTTAACTAGGCCCTTTCCTGTTACCTATCTAATTTTAATACTCAACATGCAGCGGTAATCAAATGACTTCATTAACGTCGGCTGGTTTATGTTCCCATCACACTACAGTTGTACATGCATGACTGTTCTAGGACGTCCTAGTTAGTGCCAGTGGGGATAAACTACCCCAGATTCTATTGCCAAAAAAAGAAAAAAGTGCAAACAATGCATGTAAAACAGGTCTAGAATTATACAATTAGAAATAAATACCCTGCGATAAACTCAAACTCGGAGATCAAGAGCAGAAAGTACTCCCGCCAAATAGGTTTGCATTGCTCAATGTCCAAACGTGCTGCTTTTGAAATAACAGGCTGCTGGTTCCATTTAAAAACTTGAAAATATGTTTCTGTAATGAAATAAAAACCACCATAATGCCACTAAATAAGTTTCTTTTTCTCCTTTTTTCAGAAAGAAACGCTGACGTGGCCTCACTGGAACAGGAGGAAGATCGTTTGTCCAGACTTGTTATAAATGATGATAATTAGCTTTGTGCCCGGTTAATTCAAGCCTGGCGTGGTTGAAATAAACATCTCCCTCTCGTCTCTTCGTCTTCTTCCTTTCCGTTGGTTGTGGCTGTTGCCTTGCGTGTAACAAATTGGTGTCGGAGGTGGGATATCTACACTTAACATGGCAAATCGACCAGAGGACCAGCCTCCCAAGTTGTTTCCTCAGGATAGTGCTTCATCATTGCCTAGTGTACCACCGCTTTCCCGCCCACCACTGCTGCAACCATCATCAGATTATCCTCGCTGGAAGATACGAATGCAGGCGTTCCTGGACGTTGCCCCAGCAGCCCACCATTTCGTCCACGTCCTCAACAACCTATCAGAGGATGCATTCGCCCGTGCACACGCTGCTGGGTTCAGTAAAACCAACTCCATGCAAACGAACTGGGAGATTCTAGATCAATGTTTTGACCTGAGGCTGGGTTCTCAACATACCCTATTACAACTGCTCTCCCGCCGACAACTACCAGGAGAGAGTTTCCTGGAATATCTTAACGCTCTCCAGCTACTGGCAGCTGGACTTGACAATCACGATAGCCCTGGCAGCAAAGACCAATTGGTATGCACCCGCTTCGTCGAGGGAATGATGCCTGGTGACCTGCGCACAAACCTCCGACGTCAGCTCCCGGCCAACACATCCAAGTTAAAGAAGATTATTCTTCGTTTCATGGACGCCGAGAACGACCACGTGTCGACACCCAGCACCTCTATGTGCCCAGTATCAACAAAACCCAATGCACCTGCCGTGACCCCCGTTCGCCGCGACCGTTCAAGAAGCCAACGACGCTCAAATGGGGACGCTACCCGTCGCTGCTACTATTGTCAACGTTTCGGGAAGAAGGCCCGTAAGTGTGGTCACAATCGCCAGCCGGATCGCAGTAAGTCCCCTGTTTTTAATTTGTCTACATACTCTTGTACCCGGCAACCTTTGATGTTATGGGGACATATTAATGGAGTGCCCTCTAAAGTCCTCTTAGATACTGGCGCGTCGGTTTCTCTAGTAAAGGCTTCCTTCCTTCGACGCTTGCCCCAGTACTCACCCCCAGTAACCACTCACAACATCTTGACGACAGCTAACGGTGCTAAACTGGAGGCCCGATCTGCTACCGATCTACAGCTGCGCCTTGGAGACCTAGATGTGCGCCATCAGTTTCTTATCTGCGCCCAGATTACATGGGACCTCATCCTAGGGGTAGACTTCTTGATGTCACACCACACTCTTATAGATATCACCCATTCTCGAGTCACAATTGATTCTGTCACTATACCCTTGTATAGCCCTCAGCAACCGCGGTCTGCCGCGTCAAAGCTATCAGTGTCTGCCATCATAAATCAAGTTTCAGTTGATCCATCTGCTCCTGCTCCCCTCCGACGGCAAATGCTGAAATTGATTGATGAATACGCTGATGTGTTCGATGATGGGGGTAATCCGGGACGCACTGGTGTTGTTCAGCACCGTATCGATACGGGCAGTCATCCGCCTGTGCGTCAACCACCCCGACGGATCCCTGTGCATTACCAGCCCCAACTGGACGCCCTGATACGAGATATGTTGGATAAAAAGATCATCGTACCATCATCCTCCCCATGGGCGTCACCCATCGTTTTAGTCAAGACGAAGGACTGCTCCCTCCGAATGTGTATTGACTACCGTAAACTGAATGCTATAACCAGACGGGACGCTTTCCCGATTCCCCGTATCGATGCAACCCTTGACGCACTTGCTGGCTCACAGTGGTTCTCCACGTTAGATCTGGCGTCAGGCTACTGGCAGGTAGAGGTGCACCCTGACGATTGCCCGAAGATGGCCTTTATCCTCCCGAGTGGTCTCTACGAATTCCGAACAATGCCCTTCGGACTATGCAATGCCCCCGCCACATTTCAACGCTTGATGCAAATAGTCCTTGACAGGTTAGTCCCGCACAAATGTCTCATCTATCTTGACGACATTATTGTACATGGGAAGTCCCCAGAGGAGCACATGGATAACCTACGGGTTGTTCTTACAAGGTTTAGAACGAATGGTTTAAAGTTGAAGCCGGCTAAATGTTCATTCTTACAGAGAGCAATCACATTTTTGGGGCATCGAATTTCACCAGATGGCATTCAAACAGACCCAGAGAAAACGCGCCTCATCTCAGAATGGCCTACACCCCAGGTCTGTAAAGACGTTCGTAGCTTCCTAGGGTCGGCTTCGTACTACCGACGTTTCGTGCCTGGGTTTGCCACCCTAGCCTCGCCCCTGCATCGCCTGACAGAAAAGGGCCGCAAATTCCTGTGGACCAATGAATGCCAACATGCGTTCGACAAGCTAAAGACGAACTTGACGTCAACCCCCATCCTTGCGTTCCCAGAGACGTCTCCGTCATCTGGTTCATTTATTCTGGACACGGACGCAAGCGCTAGCGCTATAGGGGCTGTCCTTTCCCAAGTGGCAACCGATGGTCGAGAACGCGTTATTGCATATGCCAGTCGCAAGCTAGATAAATGGGAAACACGGTACTCGACAACCCGAAGGGAGATGCTTACCCTTGAGTATTTTCTGAGACACTTTAGACACTATCTACTTGGGCGCCCCTTTCGAGTACGCACTGACCATCGTGCATTACAATGGCTGCAAACATTTCATGAACCTGAAGGTCAGGTGGCTCGATGGCAAGAGCGGTTACAGGAGTTCGAGTTTACTTGTGAGTATCGTCCGGGGCCTCGGCATGCTAACGCTGATGCCCTCTCCCGATTGCCGACGTACGATTCAGTGAATGCTTTACTTAATACGGGTATCGATGTGGATTGTGCTGCACTGCAGGCGGCTGATACAGATATTCAACCTGTTTACTCGCGACAGCTCCATGGGAACGATAAACCATCGAATAAGGAACTACGGAGTCTGTCAGACACAACACGATGGATCTGTGGCAAGTGGGGCGTGCTACGACTAATCGACGATGTTTTTATATAGTGGAAGCATCCTCGTCACCCCGTCTTCTTGTTCCCCGGTTGAAAGTTCCGGAGGTGATTCACCTTGTGCACCACCAGCTGGGTCACGCTGGCCAACAAAAAACCGAACACACCGTCCGTCAACGTTTTTGGTAGCCACTTCTTCATCACGACGTTACTGAATTCTGCCGCAACTGTGCTACATGTGCACAAATAACACAGCCCAAACTACCTTCCCGAGCACCGTTAGTACCTATGCTTACGGAAGCTTCCAACCACCGAGTTGGGGTAGATGTTATGGGGCCAATAACAACGTCGAGACGTGGTAATCGATACATACTCGTCATGGTCGACTACTTCACGAAGTGGTGCGAAGCTGTCCCCCTGCAACAACAAGATGCCTAGACAACTGGGTGTCCCACTTTGGTGCCCCTCTTTATCTACACTCTGACCAGGGCGCCGCATTCGAGAGTCATCTTATCGCTCACATCTGCAATACTTTTGGCATCCGGAAGACTCGTACTACATCATTCCACCCACAGGGTAATGGACTTGTCGAACGCACTAACCGGACTATTAAGAATCTTCTCCGTGCCTTTTTCCACAATACACCGGAGAACACCTGGGACGATGTCCTACCTCAGTGTCTACTAGCGTGTCGCTCCTCCATCCATTCATCCACGGGATTTTCCCCAGCTTTGCTTCTGTTTGGGCATGAACTCCGCCTCCCAGTTGAGATCCAAACGCCGCTGCTACCGTATGAGAAAATCGACTGCATCCCCTATGTCCAACATCTTCGCCACCACCTGGGGATATCCTACAACCTGGCACGTCGTCATCTCCAGTCTTCGCCAGAACACCAGAAGAGTATTCATGACCGCTTCACCCCGCGGCCCCACTTATTCGCCTGGTGACTTTGTCTGGCTTCATCGCCCATCCGTACCTGCCGGTTCGTGTCCTAAATTCTACGCCCCGTGGCAAGGACCTTATGAGATCGTACAGCACCGACCTCCCACAACGTATGTCCTGCGAAATTTGCGACGTCCTCAAGATAACCTTATATCCGCACACTATAACCAGCCGAAACCACATCACCCAGCAGCCGTCCAGAAGCCGTCGCCATCCCCGCAACCGCCGCCCGCTACTAGTTTCGTCGAGGTACAACAGATGGAGGCAGTGCACATCCTATACCACCACCAGGCACTGAGGACAGTGCCTCCAAAAGGGAGGAGGCGATGTAATGAAATAAAAACCACCATAATGCCACTAAATAAGTTTCTTTTTCTCCTTTTTTCAGAAAGAAACGCTGACGTGGCCTCACTGGAACAGGAGGAAGATCGTTTGTCCAGACTTGTTATAGATGATGATAATTAGCTTTGTGCCCGGTTAATTCAAGCCTGGCGTGGTTGAAATAAACATCTCCCTCTCGTCTCTTCGTCTTCTTCCTTTCCGTTGGTTGTGGCTGTTGCCTTGCGTGTAACATTTCTTAGCCAAAATCCAGTTTATTATTCGAAGTCCCAGCAGGGGGACGTGCTATAACCAATTCTAGCAACAAGTCTAGATCAATAACAACTCTGTTTGCGAATCTGAGTATTATTAATCATCATTCCAACAGCATGTGAATCTTTTTGAAGAAATTCCAGAAAATTGAACAGAGAAATAGACGCTAAGGATATTGGAAGAGACTTAAATTTCCGACTTTTTCACAGACCACACCAGGGTTTATTCGACGGTCGAAAGTAATGACAAACTACCTTGTAGCGGTAAATAATTCTCCAAAATTATTGACCACAGCAATCATCACTGAACATCAGATGCTG